TTTTTTTTGAACAAAGCTCCATCTATTGGTGGGGAGCAACACCTGCTGGAAACCAGGTCCAGTGTCCCATAGATACAACCTTATCCTCACAAATTGGCACGAGCTGGGAACCGGGCCCAGCGTCCCATACCAAGTACCTTCAGGAACCTCACCGAGAGATTTCATGGAAATAAGACCAGCAAAAACCCTCGAAAATTCTACTACTGATGATACTAATGATACCAGTGATGATAACAAAGGAATCTAGCTACTCGTGTTGAATCCTAATCCTGAGCAACTCCAAGCCTTCCCTTACCAGGATATTGCAACTCTAGACCAAGACAAACCTATTCCCCCGCTGCCATAGCTGATCTCTTCTCACTACCCAGGCTAACCCCGCCCCATGAGTTGTCAAGGTAGCCCCCCCTAGTTCACCACATCGGCAATCCAGGAGCACAGAACAAAGCAACTTCAGCAGTCATCGGTCTAGGTTCGACAATCCCTGAATTCCTGTATCCTAAATAAAGAAGAAGACCAGGTGCTGCCAAGATTGTAAGGCCACGGATGGCATCGAATTTATTAGATCGTGAAGAAGATACGATTCCATTGGTGACAGCTCAAGCCAATCCACACCCACTGTACCCTGTCTCATGCTGCCTCCACCGAGGAAAATCCCTCGGCCCCAACATAGAACAGATCCCCTCACCTCCCTCCACCTCATCCGCGAAGGCAACCAATCCCCTCCTAGAGGCTGCCTTTGCCCACCCCTTGTCCCTGTCTGCCCCCGCTGGGGTTGAAGGCGACCAACTCTCCAACCCCGGCCCCAGACTCAGACAATCCCCGATCTGCCCTACTCCCAATAGGGCTATTGCCTCCCACCATGCAATACCCTTGTAGAATAAGGCTCCCCTGTAACAGACCCCAGGGTTTCTTTTTCGGGGACAGCTAACTAGTTTTCTATACCCACAACTGGCCAGCCCTATCTCTCCTTCCCCTAGCTTCCCCAAGGCCAGGCGGAGCCCAGGCTGACAGTCCTACCTCCCTTCCCCTGGCTTGCCCCCTAACTTAGGCCAGGCGGTTCTCAGACCTGCTGTGGGTAACTACCGTATATCTATACCCTGGGGTCTCAAACCCCCCCCCTGCCTACCAAAGTTCCAGCCATAACCCCCGAAATCCTATCCCCCCTAAAACGTCTGCAAAATTCAATATTCGAAATCCCCACTCAGGAACAAGAAAATCGGGAAAAAACAGAATAAAGAAAATTCGCCTCACCCCACTCGGGGGGACAGGTAGAGCAAAACTTACTAGTGAAATTACTGAGCAATCCCAACCTGAACATATTTGTCTGATGTTACTACTGCGAACAGTAGTAATCAAGAGGTATGTAATCAAGAAGCAGGTAATCGAGATATAGGTGATCAAGATATGGGTGATCTAGATATAGGTAATCAAGATACAGCTCATCAGGATGTAATTATTAATGGCTATTAGATAATTGGGTGACCAAAAACGGTACCTTGAGACCGAAAAGTTTTCAGATGATATTAGTATTGATGATGGTAGTGATGATGATGGAAGTATTATCGAGAAGTAAGTAATCGAGATCTAGGTAATCAAGATATAGGTGATCTAGATATGAGTAACCAAGATGTAGCTAATCGGGATGTACGTGAAGCCGAAAACGGCACCCTGAGACTAAACGATTTTCAGATGATTGATGATGATGATGATGATGATGGTGATGGTACTGCTACTGAAGATGATGATGATGATGATGATGATGATGATGGTGATGATGATGATGATGATAATGATGATGGTGATGACGACGACGACGCCCAGCGCCCTGCGATCACGAAAGGATGATGGTGATGATAACTCACCTCCTGTTGATGACGTTGGTGCTGCTGCTGGTGATGATGATGACGAGCAGCACCCTACTGATGATAATCCCGACAACCCTTGATGATGATGCGCCCAGCGCTCTGGTGATGATGATGATGACGATGATGATGATGGTAATGATACTGATTTTGATGATGATGATGATGATGATGATGATGATAATGATGGTGGTGATGATGATGATGATGATGGTGGATGGCGGTGACGAACCGCTCCCTGACAGTGATGATAACGATGATAATGATGATGATGATGATGATGATGATGATGATGATGATGAAGGATGATAGTGACGACGAATCACCCCCTTGACGCTGTTGATAACGAAACTCAGCTTGATGACGAACAGCGCCCCTTACCCTGATGATGATGACGAACAGTGCCCCTTGCCCTGATGATGATGACGCCCG